AATGGAAAACATATGGGACTGCTTCCTCCTGGTGGGGCGTGCTTGGCCCCCTGGCATTTTGTGTGCTTGTGGCTGACTGGGCTCCACTGCCCTGGGGCCAGAACATCTCCAGGATGGGGCCACCCCTGCCCCTTGCTGTGGCAGCTTACCTGCCATGTGCTTGGCTGTGAAATTCTCAGGCTGTTTTCTTGGAGAAACTGAATAGTGGAAGCAGAACTGCAAATCATTCTTTATCCTCACTTAGTGCCACCCTCCTTTCCAGCTTTCCAGACTCACTTCAGTGTATATCCCAGCCTCCCTTCATGATGGTGCCACATTTACACTTGTTTCCTTTTATTCCTTTGGACCAGCATTCTGTCCTGCTGCGTGGAACCTTTTCCCAGCTGACTCCAAGGAGTTCTTTTTAAGAACTTTTAAGAATCCTGCTGACCTCTTTCCTTCTCTGTGATGTTGCCCTTCTGTTGAGACTTGTATGCAGACACTCAGCATGTCCTGTATCTCTGTGTGCCTGGTCCATGGCCACCATACAGAAGGATCCTGGCCAGCTGGCACACTGTCCATGTCATTCTTCCCTCTGTCTCCCCCTCCTGCCTCACCGGCCCCACCCCAGTTTCTGTAGTTGCCCAATAAACGATTACCCACCTCCACTTACCTGTGGAGGATTTTCCAGGGAGTGCTCCAAAGCTTCTGCAGTCCTGTACCTGGCTCTCTGCCCTCCGCCCCACTTCCCACAGTTCCTGAAAACTCTCCTGACCCACTGGCTTCTCCCACCTGGAACCCGCAGTTGGTCTTGGCTGGCTCCCCTCCAGAGACATGGTGTTGGGTTTTGTTTTTTTTTTTTTTTAAACAGTTTACTGTTGTGTTTGTAGTGCCTTTATTTTGAAAGTAAACTAAATAAAAAACCACACATGGATATCAGTAAAATTAAATACAATGAGAACAGAACAACAGCATTGTTAAATTCTACGCAGATGGTCATATTCTCTGCTGACACCTCTCTGCACAGCCTTTCACACTGGCACCAATCAGGGACTTCCCTTGTGAGTACTGGAATGAGTAAAATGAAAATAGAGGATGCATACCAGGTGATTAAACGCCATCCACCTAAAGGTGTCCTTTGAACCCTCCTACAGCCGCACCTGAGCCCTGGCATATCACTCTGCAGGTGGCTGTAGACCTTGCTTCTCTGAGGTTGAGGTCCCTCTTTACTGATTAAACCTCAGTTGGAGAAACCCTTTTCTGTCTTCCTTGCTGCCCACCTCAGGAATGAAGGCACACTTTTTGAAGGCTCCACGCATGACTGAATTGGCTTCTGGGGTGCTTCCTCCCTTCCCATGTCCTACTCAGTGGTGTGTGATTCAGCCTGGCCCCTTGATCTCTCTTCCTTCCCTCTGTTCTCTCCTCTGAGCAATCTCCTGCTGATGGTTCCACACCTTACCCCACCCTTTGGGTGCTTCCCCTCCTTCCTGCTCTTATTGGGATGCATTTTACTCAAGTCATTGGGCTCCTTTCTTACCTCCCAGCTGGGCTTTCCTCATGCATACCTCATGTGCTTACCTCCCACCAGTAAAGCCTCCATGCCTACTGCCCTGCCTTGATTTGTGCCCCAGGCACTTCCTTCCAGGACCACTTGGCCATTAGTTCTGGACAGACTTGTACCACAAGTAACCCTGATGGGAGAGGGGATGTGTCTTGTGTCTCCAGAGCCTGGAACAGGCCTACCCAGTCACATCTGCCTTTGGAAAGTATTGTAGTCCAGGATATTCTCACTGTTCCCACCTTCAGATGAAGTTGATGTAGGGAAATGCCCCTCCATGGTCCTGAACTCCTGGAACACTGCTCTTGTCTTGGGAGATGCTCTCCAGGCTGCTGCCCACTTCCCCACCTGCAGGCCCCCTCAAGCTCTGATGCCAGATGCCTGTCTGGTTTCAGCCCTGAGTGCTCCTTCCCCATCTTTAGCACCATTTGGTGGGGGCGGGTACCCGGAAATCACTTCACACCTTCAAAGCCTCCCTATTCCCATTCCTGTAAGTGTTCCCAGCCTGTTGTTCTGGAAGAGCACACCCATCTTAGAGTGTGCCCTAGGAGCTGCCCCCACCTCCACCCCCTTCTCAGATCTCCAGAGGACCCTGAGAAGGGCACAGATTATAAATACTCACCTGGTGTCTTGGACACAGTTGGGCCTCATTAAATACTTAAGTTCAGCATTCGATGCAAGGCCACATCTAGACCTAAGTTGGGACTGCTGCAACATACCCACCCTCTGGTGTCTTGGATGGTAGCACTAGGATTTCTGTCCACAGTGTTGTCCTCTCTAATGAACTAAATGACTAATGAATTACTTGGTTTGAGGTTTGTTTGGTTCTTTCTTTCTTGTTTGTTTTTAAGTGGCCATCCCATCTGGGAAAAGGGGAAAGGCACTTGGCAGATTTCTTACCTGTTCGGTGAAAAAGGATAAAGAACAGTCTTAACCTTTTTTTTTTTTTTTTTTTTTTTAAGAAGTCTGGGTCAATTTTATTTATTTGAAGGTTTTTTTTTTTTTAACATTTATTCAATTTTGAGAGAGCATGAGTGGGGGAGGGGCAGAGAGCGAGAGAGACACACAATCCGAAGCAGGCTCCAGGCTCTGAGCTGACCGCACAGAGCCCGACATGGGGCTCAAACTCACGGACCGTGAGATCATGACCTGAGCCGAAGTCGGACGCTTAACCGACGGAGCCACCCAGGTGTCCCAGTCTTAACCTCTTAAAGCAAGCCTGGATTGGGGCACCTGGGTGGCGCAGTCGGTTAAGCGTCCGACTTCAGCCAGGTCACGATCTCGCGGTCCGTGAGTTCGAGCCCCGCGTCAGGCTCTGGGCTGATGGCTCGGAGCCTGGAGCCTGCTTCCGATTCTGTGTCTCCCTCTCTCTCTGCCCCTCCCCTGTTCATGCTCTGTCTCTCTGTCCCAAAAATAAAGTAAAAAACGTTGAAAAAAAAAAAATTAAAAAAAAAAAAGCAAGCCTGGATTCAGTTCCCAGACTGAATCTGTAAGATTCAGCCTCTTGCACGTGTTGGCTTTGTGCTCCTCCCACTTGGGTCCTCTCCCTGCAGCGGCCTCTCCCATGTGTTCACTAGCCAGGTGACACCTAGACCTGCAGTCAGCCAGAGCACCCTGGAAGGAATGCCGTCTCCTTGACCAGGTCCGTTTTGTCAGCTCATGGGCTTCCCCTGCAAATAGGACCCATGTGTGGGGCTGGCCGTGGGGGCAGAGGGTGGGGAGGTTGGACGCCTCAGACCAGGAGGGCCAGCTCTCCACAGCCCCCTGTGAGTGACTTGCTTTTACGTAGCAAGCTTTCCCCTGGTGCTTTTAAAACTTGATAATTTGCCAGAACTGCATCTACCAAAACTTTTGTGGGGCTCTTGGTTTAAATCACACTTGGATTGAATTATAAAGTAATTCTTCAGCAGCCAGAGTGCCTAGCTTGTGCTAAGTGTGTTCCAGAAAGAAAGCCATGACAGAGCCAGTGAACGTGCCCTGTCTTTTTTGGTCCCCTCTGCCTACCAGAGTCGTGTGATTGTAAAATCTGCCCTTTTTTCCTAAGCCTTTGCCTGACTCCCTCAGCCGGAGAGGTTTTCTTACCCGCACTGAACTCCTAGGGTTATTACTGGCGATATTCATTAGCTGCAGGCAGCTCCTAGATTACAAAGTCTTTCTTATTCTGGGCACTGGGCTTAAAGCTGATACTTCCTTTTTCTTGCCAGTAGAAAAGTGTACACCGAAAGAATGCCAAATAGTCAGTACACATTTGAGCAGATGTTTCTTCTCATTAACAGAGTGTGGGAACTCTCGGCACTGCAAGTAAGGGGTGAATTACTGTGTTTCTGGAGGGCATTTTGGCAGTAAAAACATGTACCCCATATCTGTGGTTTTGTTAGAATAACTGGACAGGTGCACAAAGTTGCCATCGTGAGGATGCTCTTGGCGGGATTTGCATTCTTGGCGTGGCCTGAAGCAGGGGTCGTTCAGGTGAGGAGAGTGCCTCGGAAGGGGTGCTCATACAGGCATTGAACTGGGGGGTCTCACACCCCCTGTGCAGTTCGTGAGAGGTAACCTTCTGTATCTCTGTGAATAAGCTTTGAAAACCTGGTTAATAAAGTGATAACTTTTAGGTTATCAATACTTTGTGGGATTTCTTTAATCAGCAAACATGCATTATTTTAGTCACCAAGGACGTGTTCTTAGTGAGTGTGAGCATTTGCCCTGAGCACTCGGCAGTGGACTCCGTGGGCCACTCTTCTGGCCCTGATCGCCAAACAGAATTACTGACTTGGCTTGATGTTTCATGAGCCACAAGTACAAAGAATTTTAATGTAAAGGACATATTTGGGGGCTTGCAAATCATCCTGCCTCCCACACAGGCAGTGTCCCTGAAAAACTCTCACATGGGGGTTGCCTGGGTGGCTCTGTGTGTCAAGCGTCCGACTCTGGTTCACGTCATGATCTCATGGTTCATGGGATCAAGCCCCATGTCAGGCCGTGCACCTGTACTGCCAGAGCCTGCTTGGGGATGCGGTTTCTGTCCCTCTAACCCCAACTAAATGAGTAAAACCTTTTTTTTTTTTAATAACCGTTACATGATGTGAGAACCTGGTTTGTTGCTTATTCTGCCTCTTTCTGCATGGAATCAGTAGTGCTCACAGCCCTTGAAGGCTCCTGGTCAGCTCTTCTCTCTGAGCCCCGTCTCTCCTGACATTCGCCATTGGTACTTGCTCTCTCTTCCGTTCTGTAGGATGCGTCGTCTGCTCTCTGCCGAAGAGAGCAGACACAGGGGGCCTTTTATTTTAGTCAGTGCAAGAAGCGTCTTTCTGGTCAGCCTGACCAGTTTCCACCAGAGGAGCTCGGCCCTTGGAAGCCACACACTCGTGGCGCTGTGAGTGGTGCCCATCTGCTGCCTGGTTTCTGATTATGGCTTTTTTCTCCTTGTAGAGTGCCCAGTGAAGAATGTGATGGGATCAGTAGCATGTCTGCGGAGAGCGGCCCTGGGACGAGATTGAGAAATCTGCCAGTGATGGGGGATGGACTAGAAACCACCCAAATGTCTACAACGCAGGCCCAGGCCCAACCCCAGCAAGCCAACACAGCCAGCACCAACCCCCCGCCCCCGGAGACCTCCAACCCCAACAAGCCCAAGAGGCAGACGAATCAATTGCAATATCTGCTCAAAGTGGTGCTCAAGACACTATGGAAACACCAGTTTGCGTGGCCTTTCCAGCAGCCTGTGGACGCCGTCAAGCTAAACCTCCCTGTGAGTAACTTGGGCAGGGCCCGGGGCTGCTGTCCTCCAGGTCCCTTCCCGTGTTGCTCCTGGGGACGGTGGGGGACAGGAGGAGGACACAGAACTGCCTTTGGGGCCCCGCTCTGAACTGCCAGCACTCATGAGGCCCTTGAGTGAATGGTTTTGGTAGTCTTGACGGACAGTCATCAGTTCTTAGATTTCGGCTCCGGGAGAAACTGTAGAGTTGAAATGGGGGTGAAAAGGAGTGCTTGCAGCTTTCCTTCTGATCCCTTAGGGGAGCTGAAGTAGGAGCAGTTGGTGGTCCAGGCCCCCTACTTCTCAGGCATGGTTGGGAGGCTGTGGAAGGGGGACTGGTTTGCTGCAGTACCTTTTCTGTACTGACATGGTCGTCATCGTCGCGATCACCCAGAGTGCAGGGCGGGAAGAGGCAGTGGAGTATCTCCCAGGCAACCAGTACTTGGAGGGGCCTGGTTGGAGGGAGGAGGTAACCGGTGCAGCTTTGCCCTCGGCTGCCTCCACGCACACCCGCCACCTGCTCAGTTGCAGCCACGGTGCACTTGCTTTGGTTCTTCTGTACCCCTCTTCTGCTCTTTCCCTAGAGAGTTTTCCTTTTGCCCACATCCCTAGCAAATGGTTCTGGAACCTCAGTTTGTATTTCTAACTGAACCTCAGGGAAGAAACGGGATAGATAATTTTTTTCTTTTCTTCTAGCATTGAGGACTAAGTGTCTCTAAGTTAAGCCCTGCTGTTTGCTAAGTCTCACACATCCCCTGGATGAGGAGTTACATGATTATTGCCATAGACGCAGGCGTGGGTCTTTGGGGGTTTGAACTGCACAAGTGTAGGAACCTCAGCCTTTGCCAGGCATCCAGTTTCAAAAAGGATGAATACACTGCTAGTGTGACCCTCCTGTTGTGAAAGCAGCTGTGTCCGTGACATTCGTCCAATTACCTCTCTCTGTTGAGTATGTGTCACGTGCACTCAGGAAGAGCAAGTCAGGAGGAGGCACTGCGGGTCTAGATCATGAACTGGCTCAAGAAAAGGGGCGGAAGCAAAAGAGGATCCTTGCCAGATCTGGGCTTCAGAGGCTACTCTTGCTGGTGACCGTGACAAGGAGTAGGGGCAGACGACCTGTCACTGGAGGGAGGTTCTTCAGAGAGCTTGCTACAGCATAATCTCTGTTTGGGTTAGTGGGTTGGGCTGGGCCGTGTGGGATCCACAGGTGAGGGTGACCTTCCCAGAGCAAAGGCAAAGACTGGGAGGAGGTGGGTCTGGGGTGGGGGGTGAAATCCAGGGGGTACTGCAACTTTTATAGCACCAGAGGGAGGTGGTGGGAGACCTGTAGAAGAGAGCCAGGAGAATCACCAGCAGAGAGCAGTCCCCCAGGTTTCCACATCAGAGGCTGCAGGGAGGTCAAAGAGATGAGGATTCCGACCTGACCCTCCTGTTGGCCTTTAGGAAGGCATTGGTGACCTTAGGAAGATGTGACGCAGAAGTAGAAACCAGATTCCCGACGGTGTGAATGAGAAGGTGAGGATGTGAAGCCATCATTTCGAGAAATTTGGCATTGAAGGGAAACCGCGGCAGGGCCAGAATGGAGGAGGGGTTGGTTTGTTACAGGAAAATTCAGAGGGCTGAGAGGGCGAAGACCGAGGAAAAGGGGGGGGGGGGGCGCTGGGGTACCCAAAATCCCGAGAAGGCAGCATCCCCAGCTAGCAGGACAGACATGGGGCAGGGGGGTCTGTAAGGCCCAGTGGTTTGGGAGTTTGAGGTCATTCACTGTGCAGTGGAGGCCAGGCTCCCCGGAGGTCACAGTGTGAATCCCTGTCTCTGTGACTGTTGACATCACCCTCAGCAGTTCTGACATAGGAAGAAGAGGCCGGTGCAAGGTGGCACTGATCTGGTGTCTTCAGGGAGGTGGGAGCGCCAGGAACTGACCCAGAGGAGTAGGGCAGGGCTAGTCAGTCAGAAGCAGCGTTCTGCTTAAAGCCTGGGGTTCCAGGGACCTCTCCCCCTCCTCGAGAAAATGTTACTACAGCCACAAAAAAAAGGGTTCTTTCTTTTTCTGTTTTCTGACACCTTCCAGGAATCTTTATCTGCATTTTGTCCTCTGATCTCTGCTGGACTTTTCACTAGAATGCCTGCCCCTTCTGTTCAGTAAACATGTACAGTTGGATTGTCATGCCCCTAAACCCACTGCCCCCTTGTCGGCACGCTCATGCGCTCGCTCTCTGTCTCTCTCCCTCTACTTGACAGGCCATGGCCAGTTCAAGCAGCTGACACCATTATTGGCCATAGACTAAAAAATATATTTCCACTGGGGCCTTGGTTCTCTTGGGAAAGGTGGCCAGAGCCATAGTAGAATATAGAAAGTCTGGTACAGTCTGTCCTTGTGGCCTCCTGGGCAGGGTACCCGGGCATGCGTGTGTAGCCCTTGCCAGCTCAGGGCTATGATCTCTGCCACTCATTATGTGTAAGCTGGTTGCTTTTGTTCCTTTCTCGTGGGTGTCAGAACAGCTTAAAGCCTCACACCCTGTGCTTACCTTTCCAATACTGTCCACCATTTCCAGGCAAGACCGTGGCACTTGGTGAGGGATAGGCCTGCCTCTCTGCCATCAGGACTGGTTCTGATACCACACCCAGGCCTGATTAAGGGAGCCTCTGAGATTGCAGTCTACCTTGGAGCTGGCCAGCTGCATGCGGGTCTTCCTGCCTGGCTCTCTCTGGTCCTTCTACAGGGAAGCCTGGTGTGCTGCCTGTTCTGTCCCCAGATACCTTCTGTGGTTATTTTTAAATATAAACATTCAGTTTTTAGGATAGGTTTAGATTTAGAGAAAGCAGACAGTAGTAGAGTCTGATTTGAAGGGCTTTAGGATATCTACACCTGCCGTCTGGCTCCTTCCGTTTGGCACTTGTAGAGTAAGGTGTGAAGTTTTGAGGAGTGGGGTCTGCTGGATTTTTTTTTTTTTTTTTTTTTTAACTGAGGATTATACGGGTTGTCTGGATTCCTCATTAACCTGGTTGGTTATTCAGCTATATCCAGGTACTGCTGACACATCCTTTAGAAAGACCAGTAATGGAAATGGAAGTGTGGTGAACTTGAGTGAAGGTGGAGGCTTCTGCTCCATGGTTCTTCAGTGTGATCAGAAGCAGGGATTCCAGTTGTTACAGGTGTGCCTCGATGCTGGTTCCATAGGATTTTGCATTTTATGGACCAGTAAACTGTCAAAATAGTAGGGAGAAAGTACAACCTGCTGTAGGTTGTTTTACTAGATAAGGACTGCTTTTCAAAGAGCTGTATGTTTTCCCTGTTATTTACTAGAAATTAAAGGATTTTAACATCACACACAAAAAGGGAAAAAAGCCTAGATCTCAGTAAAGACAACCTGTTCCCAGACCTGGGCACGTGACAGACTTGGACATTTTCCCTCCAGATTTGCACCCGACATGTAAGAATTCTTCCCTAATTCTCACTTTGTCTTGGATTCCCGTTGAGATGGCTTGCTGAGACCATGGAAGGGCTTCAGTCTGTGCCGTGGCTCTCATCTGTGTTCCTGGAGTGAGATCCACAGGCCCACCTATGAATGCTGCATGGCCGGGAAGGTGACACTGGCCTTTTGCTCTTTTTGCTCTCCAGGATTACTATAAGATCATTAAAACGCCTATGGATATGGGAACAATAAAGAAGCGCTTGGAAAACAACTATTACTGGAATGCTCAGGAATGTATCCAGGACTTCAACACTATGTTTACAAATTGTTACATCTACAACAAGGTGAGATGTGGTGGCAGGTGTCCAGCTGCCCTGAGGGGAGGGGAGGAGAGGAGAAGGAGGCGGGCATATCTGGAGCCTGTGGGCAGGGGTGCTTGGTAGCCAGTGGGATTTAGAGTCTGATGGGAGGAGATCATTTGGAGGCAGAAATAATGGGACCCATGGCTTTGCCTGTGACTGGGTGTTTCTTTTTTGGGGAGGAGGGTGCTGGCCTTGCTTTACTTCCAAGCCGTCCTTGTTAGCTTGAAGCATGTGCTTCTTGTGCCCTTGGGATTTTGGTTCTTGGGCATGTGTAGTAGAGAAGGTGTGAGAAGGACAGTGACAACTCATTAAAAAGTCCATTTGGGTGATGTCAATTGTCAGGAAGGAGCCTACTAACATGTAGTTGTGCAAAGGTGTGTTCAAACAGAAACCTCAATGTGAGAGAGGGTGTGATGGGGGTCGCCGCATCTGAAATGTGGACATGACCATTGACAACTTGTGGCCGTAGAATTGAATGTCCCCTGATCTCACTTGTAGACCTGAAGGTCACTTCTTAACCCCGTTAGCCAAACCTTTCGGCTCGGCTGTGCCATGAAGCCAGATCATTTGTTTACAGTTCAGACCACAGATGTGATTAAAACCAACCCTTTCATATAGAACGGCTCTGGAGGGAGACACTATACAGAACTCAGCTTTTGACCTCTGCTGGTGTAGTGGGTAAAATTGCCCAGAAGAGATGGGTAGGTGAGTTTCTTGAAGTTTACTGTGTTTTTTTAAAAGTCTCAGCTCTCATCACTAGGTTTCAGTGAAATGTCCACAGATGAGCTTCTCAGTTTAGAGCTGAGTGGGAACAGCATGTCGTAGATGAGGCAACAGAGTGGGGACCCGTAATGTAGTTCGAGATAGGCATGACCCGATCCCCAGTGAGCTGCCTTGAGGGAACACTGGGGAGCATTGTCAGAGCCCTGCTAATGTATCTGTGGCAAGAAATCCTGTGTAATTCAAGTATTTGTAGTGGAGTGGAATTGTGTCAGAGGAGGGATTCTGTCAGTGATTGGCAGGGCTTGTTAGATACTTAAGGCACTAGGATGGTTTCTCAGGCCAGAGCTTAAAAGACTAGAGAGGGAGGTGCAGGTGGACGGGTGCTGATTCAGGCACGTGAACCTCTGTGATATCTGGTGGCATAACTGTTGTGGCCCTTTAGGATTCAGATCGGGAAGGACCCTGACTATGATACTTCATGCTTTGGGGCAGGGGGTGGGTGGCACAGGGTGGGCAGCTCTTGCTCTATCTAGAGAGGTGGTGAGGGCTTTCTGACCCTCACCCCCGTGTCTCCTTTTCCAGCCTGGAGATGACATAGTCTTAATGGCAGAAGCTCTGGAGAAGCTCTTCTTGCAGAAAATCAATGAACTGCCCACTGAAGAAACTGAGATCATGATAGTCCAGGCAAAAGGAAGAGGACGTGGGAGGAAAGAAGCAGGTAGGGTACCTCTAGTGCCCCAGCACCGTTTGCCTCACATTGAAATAACAAGGACATTGGCTTTCCTTCTCCCTAATCTTGTCTCCTTCTCCAGGTTCAGTGAGGGACTAACTGGGAGTGCTAGTAGGGTCAGGCTTAGTGGTGAAAGTGCCCCTTTCAGAGGGTCGCATGAGTGTGTGACCTCCCACAAAGTAGAAATAATTGGACCCTGCTTTTTTTTTTCTTTTCTTTTCTTTTTTTTTTTTCTTTCCTTTTTTTCTTTTTTTTTTCTTATGGACCTTGGTTAAAAAGTGACTTTTTCAAAGCATTTTTGTTATTTGAATTATTTACTCCATTTAAGAGAAAAGGAATTCACCTGACCAGTGGCGGTTTTAACTAACAATCGTATCCTTGAACCTTGAAGTTGGTTGTTTGAATTATCTTAAGATGCTTATGTCAGAGCCAGGCCTGCCTTTTGATGCTTCTGAAGTCAAAGTGAAGCTCTCCCTTCCTTGTCTATCTCAGCGGCCACCCTGCTTCCTGCCCCCGTCTCTCAGCCTGACACAGGATTCCAAAGGCCAGCTGCTGGGGAGAGAGGAGAAACAGTGAAATGTTTCTGTCTAGGAAAAGCTCTAACAGCTCCCTTCTGCATCTTGCCATCCTTAGCTCTGTGCTGAGGTGGCCCATGCTGTGGGGTGTTTGCTTCTCTAAAGAGAGGGCTTTCGACTGACTTCCCGCCCTGCTCAGAAGTGGTGGCTTCACGGGAGCAAAGGGCGCTGGCCTAATCCCCTGCTGGGATGAGGGGTAGCCAAGGACAGGTGGTCCTGATGCTTCATCCCGTAGACGTGGGTCCTGCCACGGGGTGGCCAGTATCCTTACCGTCCGGGAGGCCTGCCCTTACTCTCTGGGACCAGGAGTTTGGTCTGCACATGGGACAGATGCAGGGTGTTGTGTCTGGGCTCACCCGCGCAGCTGCAGGGAGGCAGTCTGAGCCGGTCACAAAGGGCAGCAGCCGTCCAGCCTCCTCCTGTGGCTCAGGGAGGTGGAAGTTTGCCAGTTTCCAGAAGCCTTGGCCAGGGCTGCTGATGGCGGCCCCCTGCCAGAATTGCTTACTCAGAAGGCAGCGCTTCTGGGAATGAGGACAGCTCTGTCCGAAAGTGCCAAGGAACATTTTTCCGCTCCCCATCTACAGGCCTGGTGCTAACTCGCAGCGTGTGTTTCCTGCTCCTTTGGCCCCGGCCTCCATGCCCATGAAGGCGTCTTTGTGCCTGATTTGGGACTTGAAGCCAGGACGCTTCAGGAGGTGTGGCATGCAGTGTGCCGCTGCTCTCAGAGATCCCTGGGGCAGGTGGACCAATTTGGCCAAGGTCTGGGGTGTACGGGTTGTTCTGTCTCTTAGGCGAATAGTTACGGTGACGTTATGTGCTCTGCCCGCACAGATGTGTGCTCACCACATGTGACAGTGTCTCCATGAGGTCAGCCAGCGTGTGTCAGGTTCGGCATCTAATCACCTGTCCCTTTTATGATTGGTAGGGACGGCAAAACCTGGCGTCTCTACGGTACCAAACACAACTCAAGCATCGACTCCTCCGCAGACCCAGACCCCTCAGCAGAACCCTCCGCCTGTGCAGGCTACACCTCACCCCTTCCCTGCGGTCACCCCAGACCTCATCGTTCAGACCCCCGTCATGACAGTGGTGCCTCCCCAGCCACTGCAGACAGCCCCGCCGGTGCCCCCTCAGCCACCACCCCCACCTGCGCCAAACCCCCAGCCTGTGCAGAGCCACCCACCCATCATCGCGGCCACCCCACAGCCTGTGAAGGTGAGCGTTCTGTGTGTGTGCGTGTGGCCCAACCTGGCCACTGGTGGGCTCCTACCACCTCAGCACCCCCTCTTTTTTGTCTTCCCTTCCATAGCAGTGAGGCTTGCAGGAGACAAGTCACTGTCACTGCCGGCGCTTCATGCAGAGCTTGTCCTGGCTCCTGGGGCACTTTGTGGGTGTTTTGGGGGCACTGTGCAGTGTTTAAGTCACGGCCTAGAAGCTGCTGCCCTGCTGGCCCACAGGTCCCATAGTTGAGCCCACCCCCCAGGGCTTGCCAACCCCCCAGCCCCTTCCCTAGTTCTAATTTAGACTGTTCATGTTTGCAGATGGCACCCTTATAGTCTCTGAGACGTGCCTGCCCTGGGGGAGCCAATGTGTCCAGGCTTGGCTCTGAGCGGCTTCCCTGGCATTAAGTGGGAAGCTGCTTCAGGAGGTTTCTGTGGTCTCCAGTGAGCAGATTGTGCTCTTGCGTGTGTGCTTTCTCCTGCCACTGGCAGGTCTTGTCCCAGCTGCAGAGAGAGTGATGGGACAGGTCTTTTCTTGGCTCGGTCCTTCACCTATGGAGTTAACCTTTGAGCCCCATTCCCCGTGAATGTTGGAACCCCAGAAAGGACCCAGCTGCAGGAGTGAGCGGAGGGAGGGACAGCTGTGCCGGCCGTCACCTTTGACCGTGCTTGTCACCCCTGTGCTCTCGGCAGACAAAGAAGGGAGTTAAGAGGAAAGCGGACACCACCACCCCCACCACCATTGACCCCATTCATGAACCACCATCACTACCCCCGGAGCCTAAGACTGCCAAGCTGGGCCCCCGGCGGGAGAGCAGCCGGCCTGTGAAGCCCCCCAAGAAGGACGTGCCCGACTCTCAGCAGCACCCAGTGTCGGATAAGAGCAGCAAGGTCTCAGAGCAGCTCAAGTGCTGCAGTGGCATCCTCAAGGAGATGTTTGCCAAGAAGCACGCAGCCTACGCCTGGCCGTTCTACAAGCCTGTGGACGTAGAGGCATTGGGCCTGCACGACTACTGTGACATCATCAAGCACCCCATGGACATGAGCACAATCAAGGTGAGCAGATGCCCTCCCCCCCGCCAGAGCTGGGGACAGGACTCCCCGGGACAGAGAAGGTCAGAACCTCCTAGGCTGGTCCAAGAGGAGGGTCCAGGCCCTGGGTGCTTCTGAACTGTGCCCTAGCAGCTGTCTCTTCTCACCAGCTCAAAGCAGCCCAGCGCCCCCTGCTGGGAATTGTAGGGGATGGCCTCCAGGACCACGTGCTTGGGAATTTTCTTCCCAGAGAGCAGCAATGCTGTGCCCTCTGGTCTGGGGACAAGCCCTCTGTGGCCTTGGGCCCTGGTGCCCATGGGCACTTTGCACACAGTTAATGTTCCAGGAGGGGTTGAGTTGATGACTTTGCCAGGCCCGGTGTCATAGAGTGGGTCTTGATGTCTCCTCTCAGGAGGAGACACACAAGTGCTGGCATCTTCACTGTCGTATTTTGAGGCCTTTTTGGTTATGTTTATTTATTTTAAGCCATTTTGCATTTCTCTCTGTCTGAGAGTAGAGTAAGCCTGCCCCCAACATGGGACAGACAGAAGAGGGGACAGTACTTATGTTCCTTTTGACCCGTGTCTTATCCCATATCACCAAGACAGGTGTATGTCAGGTCAGAACTGGTCCCAGCCCTTCTCTTACAGTCTGGCTGAAGCTCTGTCTCCATTTATTCTGTGTCCACTTGGTCCTTAGTCACAGTGACCAGGATGGGTGGGTTTGGCGTGCTAGCAGGGCATTTCCCAGCCCTGAGACTTGCTTTTGAGTGTCTTTTTGTCCACCTGACAGAGAACTAAGGTGATGATCTCTTCTCTGCTCCGCTGCAAAACTGACCTGCTCCTACAGGCAGCCCTCCTGGCTGTCACGTCCCCATTGGAGCAGGTTTGGGCATAACTAAGGAGGCCCTGTCTTGTCTTTGCAGTCTAAACTGGAGGCCCGCGAGTACCGCGACGCTCAGGAATTTGGTGCTGATGTCCGATTGATGTTCTCCAACTGCTATAAATACAACCCTCCTGACCACGAGGTGGTGGCCATGGCCCGCAAGCTCCAGGTGAGGCCCTGGGGAAGCTCCAGGTACAACATCCTGCAGTAGAGCAGGCTGGGGTCCTGGGTGGGCCAGGCCTGTATGGCCCTTCATAGATTTTATTTCTGTCATTTGCTTTGGTATAATGCCGTGTTGCTTTGAAGATGAACTTGAGTCAGGATAGCGTGTGCATCAATATAAAATTGAGGTTATTTTATTATAAAGCAGGACAGTTGGTTTTGGTTTTGGGCATTTGGGGTTTTGTTTTGGTGTATCCCACTGAAAACCTCCTGCCCCATACCTGCATTTGGTTGCCCTTGGCCAGAAGAGTGTATGTGCTGTATGTGGCCCAATCTGTTCTCCAAAACAGACCTGTCTCTGGTTGGTGGCAGACACTCTTGTTAGGTAGACACTTGGACACAGTTGTGACCTGAAGTAATTGCTCAGCTGTGGACGTTTCTTCACCAGAGCCTTGAAATCTTTTGCCTTCTAGGTGTTCCGTGAGGCCACAACTTCCTAATGGGTGCCATTGAGGTTTGTGGCCCCTTCAAGTTGGTCTGGGTGTGCACCCTGTAAAGTGCACATGTGAGTGGAAGGAAGGGGGGCAGGTTACAGCATAATGTGTGAACTGACTTCACTTTGCTTTATTTAAAAAAGGAAAAACGTACCCAGATTTCAGCAGTGGTTATCTTTGGGTGGAAAGATCAGGGGTTAAAAATTATGGAGAACTGGGGCACGTGGCTGGCTCAGTCAGTAGAGCATGTGACTCTTGATCTCAGGGTTGTGAGTTGGAGCCCCACATTGGGTGTAGAGATTACTTAAAAAAAAAAATCTTCAAAAAAATTTCTGGAGAATAAAGTCTATATTTAGTACTTTTATAATCTGCTTTTTAAAAAATTCTTAAGCCTACACACATAAAAATATCTAATCCCTTATCCCCAAAGCCCTGGGCTGCTTCTGCTCTCAGTGTCAGAGCAGGCCCTGGAGTGGATCACCTGCTGTTACAACAGGCAGGCACTCTGGTCAAGCCCAGGACCGGTTTGCACATCTCATGCCCCACTCCCACCTGGTGGCGAGGTGGGAGGCTTCCTCACACCTGTCTTTCCCACCTGTCTGTGGAGTGCTTACAGGGCACAAGTGCAGACTCGCAAATGCCTTTGGCAACCTGTGGGTCCGTTCAGCTCAGAGGCTGCCTGAGACCCATCGCTTGCCCGTCTCCTGGTTCCGTTAGCTCCACACGTTGTCCCAGACTTACCATCATAGTGGCTCTTACCTCCTCACACTGGCGCCAAGGCTCCATCTCTCCCGTTCCTTCCCTTGGCCTCTGTCTGGGTCAGGGACTGCTTTTGGTTCAAAGGATGTGTCCTGGAACTCTTGGGATAGAATAAAAACTTATTACTAGTGTGAACCTGGCTGCTATTATTGAAATGCACCCTCAGCCTTGAACGTTATTTTAGTTTCTGTTGCTTGTTATTTGGTTTTATTTTCCCTGAGATTTGGGGTGGGGGTGCTTTCTGCTTTCTTCACAAAGCTGCTTTTCCGTTGTTTACTTCTGCATTTCCCATCCTTAAAAAGAGTTCAGGCTTTATAATTTTATGGCAATTCTCATACATGGCCACCAGGTGGCAGTGTTGCCCTCAGATCTTTGTCTTAGACTTCCTCTTTCCACTGTCCTGTGAGGATTGGGGGAGGGAGATAGCTTTTTCCCAGATCGATACTCCTACCCTTTATTTGCCCTCATGCAAACAGCTAAACCAAAACAAGTTCTGTGCCAGCACCAAGATTGCTATTCTGACCTACTTTACTTTAAAAAGAATAGAAGGAGAGTGGCTGAGCCTGGGTAGCTTAGTCAGTTAAGCGTCTAACTCGATGTCAGCTCAGGTCATGATCTCACAATTTATGAGTTGGAGCCCCACGTCAGGCTCTGCACCGACAGCACAGAGTCTGCTTGGGATTTTCTCTCTTTCTCCCTCTCTCCCTGCCCCTCCCCTGCGCATGCACTTTCTCTTTAAATAAATAAACTTAAATAAATAAATAAATAAATCAGAAAGAGAAAGAATTCTCCAGTATATTCTAGCTTTCCCTAATTTCTGTGCCTGTTTTATGTCTTGGCTTTGTCTTTTTTTTTTTTTTTTTTTTTTTTTTTTTTTTTTTTTTTTTTTTTTTTTTAAACATTTATTTAATTCTGAGAGAAAGAGCATGAGTGGCAGAAGGGCAGAGAGAGGGGGGGTCAGGATCCGAAGCAGGCTCTGTGCTGACAGCAGAGAGCCCGATGCGGGTCTCGAGCCCACAAACTGTGAGGTCATGACCTGAACTGAAGTTGGACACTTAACTGACTGAGCCACCCAGGTTCCCCTGGTTTTATGTGTTTCATTTTTATCCTTCTGGCAGTGGCATGAACATGACCCAAACATGGGGTTTAGCCATAGTGAGACCACTGGGCTATTTTCCTCACAGCAGCCTCTTTCTGAACATTTTTATTCCAGATACCAGGCTGGACTAGATGAGGTCCTTGACCTGAAGGAGGGTCCATTTCAGGCAGGGGCAGTGCCTAGGGTGGGCCATTTAGCACGGGGCAGCCTCTGCCCTAGCCCGCTTGGCCCACTTCAGGGTGGGTTGTTGTGTTACAGGAAGTGATGTTCCTTCTCCATTGCCACGAGGCAGGTGGAGAGGTATCTGCTTCAGATGCAGAGTCGATGTGAAGGGCTTCTTGTCTGGAAGTTGGTTGCTCTGTGGCATTTCAGTCTTTTTCCTCTTCCTCGTAAGCTTTCCTGGATCAGCATGGTTGGATGACTAGATTGTCCAGAGGGAAGGAGAAGCAACAAATCCCCAACCTTTGTTTGCCTCTTGAACAGGTATTAGACTTGCCTCCTCTTAATTAGACTGTTCCCAAGAACTGGGATTTACCTGGAAAATCACATGGAAAAGAATCCACTTTGTTTTCCTCTTCCAGTCTCTAAATTCTAGGCCTTTAGAAAACACACATCCTACCACCTGGCAGCCATGGTCACAAAGACAGCCAGGAGTGTCTGGGCTCAGGGTTTCCTCAGTCCACAGGTGGCTTGGGCTGAGGCCCGTGAGTCCATCTGGTAGGCCCAGAGCTGCTGGCGGTACTGCCGTTTAGACTGCCTGCTCTGTTGTGAAGTGAGGAGTCATTTAGGGAGTTTGGCGCCCTTGTAGATTACCAGAGTTTTAGTGCAAGAAAAAGCGCAAATTCAAGGTGATGTGCAGTTATTTTTATAGCAAAGAAAAATGAAAATTGCACTGGGATATCCTGCATTAGATCCCAGAGGCAGGAAGCTTTTCGGGTGTATGTAAATGTGTGTTTCTGAGTGTGTGCACTCACAGCTGCATCTCTAGCACCCGGCACTTAGTGGCCCGCCACTGCCTGCATTCTGCTCCCCACCACAACCCCCCTCTGAGCCTCGCTGTGCCCAGATATGGCCAAGCCCCACAGCTGTATCTGGGCTTGGCCGTGCTTGACCGTTTGGCACTCAGGCATATGTTTCACTAGAGGGGTGGAGGGTGTGCTTCCCCCTCGAATCTGACGCAGCCCAGAGTAGGTGACCCAGTGAACATTCTAGCAAGAGGAGACGCCTGCTCTGAAACCAGTGTGCTTTGCTGATTGATGCTGAGAATTGCAGTGCGGGTGGAGGTTATGGCATGCTGGGCAGAGGAGCTGGGTCCACCTCTAGACACTGCCAGCCCTAGTGTGGAAGCCCCGAGCCCCTGCTCCCCTAGAGAGTGCTGGTTGTTGGTATTCTCTGCTCATCGCCTCAGTGTCCTCCCTCACAAGACCTTTGACCTAGGTGCGTCTCTTTCGGTTTTGGCGTCCTCTAGCCTGGCCCCACACCCTCTCCCCCATTTTCCACCTGGCCAGCAGGATGAGCACCTGGATTCGTGAGTCACAACTTTCTCTCCTTTGAGACATCCTTGCTAGGTCTCTGCAGCTTTTGGTATCATGTCCCCCTCCCCCCCCCCCCCCCCCCCCCCACACACACCCTGCCCTCATCCTTAGGTTTCAGATTTCCCAGGGACTCTTCACCAGTCCTTTGCTGTTTCCACCTTAACACTTAATAGTACTTTATAACTGTTCACTCCTTGAGGGCAGGGAGCACATCGTTTCTCTTTACCATACGGGTGCAAGTCTGTCTCAGCCACGCGGGAAGGTTTTTCTGCGGTAGCTCTAGGTTCGCTGGCGCTCAAGCCCAAGTGCATTTCGCAGGGTGCCCCCTACTGGAACCGGGGCAGATGGGAGGATGACAGGTCTTGTAGCTGCTCGCGACAGGGAAGCCAGCAGCCCCAGACTGTAGGCCCCGCGGTGACTGCCCAGCCAGCCAGCCCGCCTGGCCTCCTGGCTTGTGCTCTTTGCTCTTTGGTCTTGGAGCCTTGGGAGAGCAGGGCCAGGGAGTACCCTAGGAGAGCAGGGCCAGGGAGTACCCTAGGAGAGGCCTCAGGGCGAGTCCTGGCTTCCATTTCCACCACAGCCACAGCCTGTTGGGGAGGAGCAGGGATGTCCTAGTGGCAAGGGTAGAGCTGTCTGGTAGCTGGCAGGAGATGCTGGGCACGCACATAAGTGGCATGAGGAAGCTCCCACCTGGTAAAGCTCACCTCCCAGCAGCACTAGGTACTCGGCCATGGCTGCCATCCTCCTCCCTCTGTGGGGTCCTGACACCTCAGGCACACTTCTCTAACCTGCCCCCTCCTCCTTGGCAGCAGGCCTGGCTTTTTCTGGACGCTCCTGTGGGTCTGTTGGGGACCCGGGGCACTGTGGGCAATAAGGGTCTTGCTTGCTGCCACACTGGGGGCCTCTGCCCTGGTGTGAGCCCCTGTCTCCTTTAGCCAGGGTGGTGACAGTCTCTTGCTCATGCCTCCTGGGTGTCTTCTCTACCACCTGACCTGCTCCAGAATGTATTTCTGTATAAATTAGAAATTAGAAATTTCTGTATAATTGGCTATAATTTATAGTAGCAGAACCACTTATACAATAGAATCCAGGTTGTCACTTTGCTGGGAGCAGGAACTGCCTTGGAGGAGCCTGAACTGGGTGGTCTGGAGGGGAGGGGACAACACTGCAGTTGGGGAGGACACCAGCCCTGCTGCCCAGGGGTCATCCCCTTTCCCAGCTGCCTTGGAGACAGAAAACCTGAAGCTGTGCTTCCAGGGATATCGGGAGAGGCTTCTAGGGCCAGCTGTGTCAGGTGTACCCTAGTTTGTTTGACACAGCAGCCTTGGAGCTTGACCCCACGGCCCTCCCAGGCCTCATGGCTCATGCTGCTCCGAAGCATCAGTTCACACTTGGGAAGGCCCATTCTCTTGCGTGAGATGCTACATTGACATTTTCTAGGCTTTTAAAGCAGGTCCTGCAGTCCTTCTGGGAAGCTAACTTTGTTCTTTTCACTGCTGTTCTTTGTCCTGAGTCATCACTGGGCTTACGATCATGGAGCCCTTGGGGTAGGAAGGGACCTGCCGGCTGGCTGGTGAGGCAGGGCTGTTGGGCCTAGGTGCCCAGACAAAGCTGCTGCCCCCAAGCTCTGTGACCCCATGGGGAGTTCCATCGGATCCCTGAGACTTACAGTTGGAAGGTCTCGGAATCCTGGGGTGGTGGGATCCTGTGCTTAACAGCCCTGGGCATGTGGTTGGGTCTCTGGCACCTCACAAGATTTACTCCCTCCTGTAGCCTGTCTCCAGCGCCCCCACATCCACTTCTGTTATACCTTTCCCACCTTGCTGGCCATGCCCTGGAGACCCCTCAGCCAGTGGCATGGCTCTACCCAGGTGCCCCAGAGGTGGTCTGAGGAGGGGGTGGGGGTGGACACGTGCCTGCTGCAGCAGAGGCGCAGCTGCCTTGCCGGCCTTGGTCTATGCACGAGGCACACTTACTCCAGGGCCAGGCCTTTGCATGTGCTGTTTGTTTCCTCTGCCTGGAATGCTCTCTCAAACTGAAGACCCCACCTGCTCCCTGAGGGAGTGTGAACCGGAGGCAGGCAGAGGTTCCTGTTCTGTTCATCATTGTATCTTAGTGCCCGGCCCTGGCATGCAGGAGGCGCCCTCGGGATGTGCTGAGCAAGCACTGACCTAATGAGAACCTCAAGGCACTGTTTGCGGGTCTTGCCCTCGGCCTGCCATCTATCTAGGATCTCCACACAGACGTCCTCAGTGGGCCAGCTGCCTCCTGTGACATGGGTCACATGTACTTACCTGGCCTGTGTCTCCTGGAGAATGGGTGCCAAGCCATGTCAGAAGGACGTTTCAGAGTGAAATTTGTGAGAAGTGTTGGAAGAGCTGACGAGGGTCCTCACCCAGCCCCTTGTCTTAGTGGTGGGGTGTGGGGGGGGTCACCATCAGCCTAGCCCCCTTTGGCCCTCCTGCTTACTTCCTGTTGAGTCAAGCCCGGCAGCCAAGGAGGCTTGGTGATGCTGAGCCACATCCCAGGCAGCCCCCCACCACCCATGCCTGGGCCCCCAGCAGCCCTCA